AAAACAGTTTGAATGTGACAGTCACATTAAGTAAACTCTGGATAACATAGTGCTGTCAATTTTTCTATAGGTGGTGGTACTTCAGTAGCTGCAGTCGTTCCGTGCCTGCAGCTAACGCTCTTGATGGGATCAGCGTCGCAGGCTTCGGTGGTACTGTTCGCTTGCGCAAGGCAGTCAGGTTGCAACACCACCACTAGAAAATCATTAGTTTGATTCAGCTTCACATTTCTGTGTACAGTCACGACGAAATGAAGAAGAATTTCTTGTAAATCCCAGCACCAGTACTCTGTGACCTCAGCTCCTGGCCTGTGGTGCTTGTGCCAGAGGCAGCACGCAAGTGGATTTTGAATGGCATGTAAGAGGGAGCCCTGGCATCTTAAAAGAAGGAGCTGCTATGGGCAAGGGTTATTTTGGCTGCCGCTGACTCCTGACCACATGAGAGTTGCTGCCTCAGGCACCACCAGTGAGGTGGGCAGCCTTCTGTCTCTTGACTGGCAGCATCTGCCAGCTTCTAATAAGCTTCTGCTCCTTAACACTTAGTGTCTAATTAGGGGGAGAAATAGAGCCCAGCATGTCACCCTTACAAGGTTACAAACGTTTGCAGAGACAGAAGAATCGTGCTCTCAGACTGCCTTTCTAACAGGGCAAAATGACTACCTATGACTCCTGCTGATGATTATCTTTAGCCAAACCAAAACCATTATTTCCAAGATCTATAAAACAAGGATTCTTAAACACATTGCAGGAAAAGCTCTGTCCTGAAATCACAGAAGAAGTTGATCTTTGGTTTGACACAAAACAGGAACAACCTGAGTGACATATTCAAGTAGAGGTGGAAAAGATATCCCCTTCCCCAAGGAATATTTTCCTGAATATACACAACAATTTCCATATTTTCTGACGTGCATGCTTTGTGTGGTTTTGGGGAAATTTGCTCATTCTTTGCTGGGCATCATTTGGATTTCATATCTTCTGCACATGAGCTTTCTCTTCCGAACTTCACTGGTATTGTGAAGAAAATGGTGAGCACATGGCAGTTTCCCGTTACACCTGTCAGATGGTCACAGCAGCACTAAGAGCTTGCCTCCACAGCCCCTGTGGGCAGGGCTCTGCCACAGCTCTCTGCTCACTCGGCCATGGGAAGCCCTACATCAGAAATACAGGTGGAAGGGGCAGAAGTCATTGGGACCGCTGTAAGGAAGACTAGCAGAATCATGAGATCCTTTGCCAGGGAGCACAGTAACAATTTGCTGTAAGGTGGCCAAGACAATTCTCAGTGCGCTGTTAGGCGTCTATATCCCGTATACACCTTCAGACTTGCCCGTATGTCCACGTTGGGTCAGTGAGCCTTAGTGTAGCCTGGTTACACCTGTCTCTGAGGAGGCATTTGCCATGGGTGACAGGCCCTGAGCTATGGCACAGCTCACAATGGAGAGTCCTACTCAGAAACTCACAGCACTGGGGAGCAGGAAAAGGCACTTCGCACATTCCCTCTCTACCTGCTATAGTCCTGTCCTGCTCATATTTTCAGTGTGGGACACTTTTTTCCAGACTTACAACTTCACTGGAATCAGATGTTTACACAAGGGGAAACTGAGAGCAAGTCTTTGACGCTGGCAGATCCCCCTGAGATGCACCACCCCTCTCTCTAACAGTGCTGGGGCTGAGGGATTTGACAAAAGGAAACAGAAGAAATTGGCTTTAGAAGGTCCCTGATCCCCCCACATACACAAAGCAGGCGATACATATACCGAGACACAGGGAACTGAAAGAGGAAAAAGGTAGGATTTGGACCAATTCACTGAGGCAAATTGGCATGATTGGTTTTAAGGAGATTATAAAAATAACATCACTTACACGTCCTCTTTTGTTTCTCAGGTCTCTCGGGACTAAGTAGTGAGGCAGATGGGTGGCAAACACACGAGGCAAAGGAAGAGCTGTATAATCCGTATTTTTTATATTGTATTCTAGCCATGGGATTCTGTCCATGGTCTCCATATTTTCTGTTCCGTTACGGTGGCCTTCATGAATTATTAAGCTCAGAATGTTTTGAGTCCACACTGTTCCTGAGAAGGAAATAGTTTTATTTGAACCTTGCTTGATTTTTTTTTTTAATTTAAATATAGTATATTGTCATAAACCGAGCCTCTGCACAGCTATCATCAGTTTCATTTTGTGACTACAAACATAACCTCACACACTGAAGAAAGCAAACATTGTCTTGGTGGCTGCTGAGTACAGAAGGGGAGCTTGTTTTTGTTTTGTCCCTACAGAAAAGCCATGGCCAGCAACTAAACCTTCAGTTCCTTCACCCAGTATACTCAGCTTCCACACAAATTATGTCTGTCCTCCCCCTTTTGTGCCAACATGAATTGCTGTGACTCTGTGGGCCATGCACCTAAAAATATCTCCTACTGAGTGGATCTAGAAAAGACCTTTGCTTCCAGAAATCCTGCAAAGTGTTGTGAGATGTCATGAGACCAACAGGTGATAACGCCATGTCTGTAAAGGGCATATGAGCCCCATGAAGCAAATGCTTGTGGCAACAGGCTCTCTAAAGCTCCTTGGGGAAGGTCTGACTCCCGTGTCACAGCTGCTGGCATGGATGATCTAAAAAAGCAGGACCCTGAGGGGGACTGACTGCAGTGTTCATGTGTTAGCTGATACTGGCAGAAGGCAAATCCTGAATGATTAGCCCTCTTGGGCAATGAGCAGAACTGTTAGCTCCAGCTGCTCTGGCCTTCTCAGCACTATACTAGCACTGGTTCCTTTCCCCTTTTATACCATAGGCCAGTAAAGACGGACATTTGAGAGAATTCAAATCCATGCAGAAGAGCATTGAATTACTGCTGTAGGTTACCCTGAACATGCACAGGGAAAGGAAGGGATCTGAGACTGAAGCCTAGTTGTTAACACCCCACCTGGGAAGGAAACTCTTCGTTCTGGAGTTCAGACCATGTGCATACTGTAGATTTAAAGTCACTGGGCAAGAAAAAGAAACAGCCCTAGGATTCAGAGGAACAATTCCCAGTCATTTCACAGCTGTGTTGACTGCCTTGCTCTGCATGGCATAATCAACCTGGACAATTTTTCTGCGCAGTGGTAGAAATTGAACAGAAGGATTGGAGGGTACCTTAGATCGATAACTAGTGAGGAAGAAAGAGGATGGTGGGGCAGGATAGAGGAAAAGGTGTGAATGAGGGAGAGATGACGTTCTGTGCATTTCATAGCTCAGAATCATCTTCCAACTCCTTCCTGTCCCAGGGTAGCCAATCACTTTGCAACACAAAGCCCCTACTTCCAAAAACATACTCATCTCAGTGCTATAACATCTTTACCCCTTAAATACTGCCTTCTCATCCTCCCTCTCTGCCCTGCCTGCACAGCTCACCTGGTGCTGCCTGATGATGAGCCAGCATCACCTGGGCTCTCTGTGCCCTCGCTCTGTGGCCCACAACCCCTCCACAGGCTTCTCGTATCACATCTACCTTCACCAAACCCAGTGCTCCCTCCACTCCTTCTGGGCTTTGCTCAAGAATGTCTTTCTGCCTCAGGTATTTCAGTGAATACCTGAGGGAATAGCAAATTCCAGCAAGATGTTCAGCGACCCTAGGAAAAGGACATATGCTAACAAAACACTGGCTGTGTTATCCAAAGGCTGCTGAAGAAAAGCAAAGGATAATGGCAGAGGTTCCCAAGAGCACAAAGAGAAGAGGATAGCAGAGGCCTTGAAAGTACAAGCACAGATTGGTACCAGAGATGTCAAGGCTTTAGTCATAAACCACCGCTCAATGCATAATCAAGTCATTAATTACTAATCACTAAAGAAACACAGTCTTGAAAAATGGGTAGACCACTTTCAGAGCATAAAGTGAACCTGTATGGAAACATACAGGCCTAGGAATGTCAAGGCTTTAGATTTCATGTAAGAGAACAGTGAAACCAGGTGATTGCTCAGTTGCATTTGCTTCCGAAAAAGGAATGCAGGATTCATCACCCTAGTGTCCTGCATCGCTGTGTAGGTAAAGAGCACTTCATTAGCCTTGAAAGGAGGAGTATATCATTGACTCACATTTGCTCTGATCTTCTGCTTGGTTGTAATTTGGATGCAGCAACCCCCAGTCACCTTTCATGTGAGCCCACAAATAATTCCAGATATCCAATCATCTACAATCCTCATGCACCTAGCCCTACCAAAGCTGTGTATGTGTTTTGTAAGGCACAGGAGGTCAGTTTGATTTGTGTGTAGCTTGATCTGAGTACACCTATGAGACTGAGTCCAAGAATAAGGCAGACCAATTTGGTTGGACATGAGCAGGAACCTTGTGTCTGGCTGTTCAGGCCATGGCTGTGCAGGGTTTGTACACAATGCTACACTGCATATACCCAGAGACGATTCAGGTCTAAAAGCAAAGTTAAGAACCTTAAGTACTTTTGCAGTTAGATGACTGAATAAATGCAGATTTCCCCCCTTTTAGAAACAACTCCATTCTTACCTGATTTTGGGTAAGTAGTTATAAATATGTCACTGTCTTTGATTTCAAAATCCTCCAGGGAAGCTACATACTCAAGTGAAGTATTTGCACCAAAATAAAACCCTTTGTATTTGAATAAATATTCTTTTGATGGTTCCATTGTTAATCTCTTGTCCTTATAGGTGAATAACCTGCAATAAGAAAATATGAAGTCTTATCTTTTTCTTTGATTATCTCATAGGAAAACAAACAACAAACAAATGAGTAATTCAAACAAAGAATCCAGGGCTGGCAAATTTTAGCAAAATGCATTTCAGCAAAATTCTGGAAACAATTCACTGAAACTTAGCTTCCGGTTTTTCACAAGAACATCACTCAGGAGACATTTCTAATGAAAAAAAAGAAAGATGCATATCAATACTCTTTACCCATATAGAAGTATATGCTGCATGCATGTAAAAACTAACCTAACTGAAGGCAACCTATGTAAAACTAATTGGTCAAGATTCTTCTAGGATCTTAGTGGCTGTAAAGTTTTCTTTGGGATGTCAGTAGCTCTTGTAGACAGCTAGGTTAATTACCAAGCTCTCATTATGAATTCTGTGACTGAAACTCTGTTCAGATTGTCTTTTTACAATTTATGCCTCCTTCTACTTATTCTCAGTCTCTTCCATAGTAAATACAATTTCTGTAAACTATGATGGGTAAGCATGAACGCGTTATTTTTTAAACACACCTGTTGGTCTTATAAGATTGTTATCTTGTGTCTCATTAACACCACTGCTGTATATTTGCCAGGAAAATACATTAATCATTGCAGTGACTAGGAATGAATGAACGCCTGGAGAGACACGGAAAGAGTAAGAGAGACTGAAGAGAGAGACTGACTCTTGTAACTGAGACAGAGCCATATGGAGCATCTAGGTTTGAAGGTTTTGGACTGCGCCTCTTCTGCAGTCTTTGAGCTGAAGAAAGTCTTTGAGCTGAACAATATGCTCATGGATTTCCGTGAGCGTAACATCCTGGTCTCTCCCTCCCTGCTTTGTAGATGAACTACTTATTAATACCATTAGACAATATACCAGCCTTGGCATAAATGACATAAGCAAGTTCACTTCCAGACTTGGATATTGCAAGCATTGCCTTATGTGTGTTCAAATATATTTGGAAGGAGAGACTCCTATCTGGAATTAGGTCTGGGTTTATGAACCCTGCCTTCCCCTTGCTTGCAGTGTGACCTGTCCCATAGCCTCTCAGAATGCTGTTTGCCACTGCTTCGCCGTTGGGACATCACCCTTGCTCAGATTTGTCCAATCAGCTGATTGTGCAAGATGTACAGGCCAAGTGATCTGAATTCACCACAACAGGCAGTCCTTGGAAATGAGGCTGCCCATCCCACCTGTTATCATTAGCTTCTCCCCTGTTCGTGCTCTGCTTCCCCTTCACCTTCCTGGTGCATGAACTCCCCTGGCCAGGCGCTTGCTCCCACCTGGCCCCGCGCCACCCCGCTGCACTGTGGCAGCAACGTTGCCCCACGGTGGGAGCACTGCCCTTGGACCCGCGCCGCCGGGACATGCCCTCCAGTTCAGTGCCTCGGGAAGCACCTGGGGATCTCCGGCGGCGTGGCTGCCCAGGCTGTCTGGCAGGGCAGGGGAAGGGGCACATTGGCCACTGGCACGGCCGGGGACAACCACTGCCCACCCTGCCAGGGGCAGGCAGGGCTGGGTTGCCTCCAGCGGCTGCAGGACACACGGACCTCCCTCAGATGCCGTGAAGACTGTAGCAGGCCCTGATCTAAACAACTCCTTGGGCACGCAGTTCTACCAAGTTTTAAGACAAACACATGCCTTTGTTTCATAAGATTAATCAAATTCTGTTTCTCCTTTTAACACCCTCACTTGGTATTGCTAGACAGCACAAAGAATCCTTTGGCCTGGGGGATGCACAAGCTCCGTTCTGCTGCCAAAGACCCACGGGCGAGGAAATGTGTCCGGATGTTTCCTTCTAGGGAGTAACAACCCCTGCGCTTGCACTGCCCTCCCTACACCCATGCTGGCAGAGTGGACTGTGGCCAGGGACACAAGGGAAGCGAGGGCAGGGACAGAGGGAAGCCGCCACTGTGTGTGATGAGGGGCTGCCTTCCTCGCATCATGGCAACAGGCCATGTCAAAGCCTGTGAGGTGCTTCAGCCTCACGGCAAAGCCCATGTTTCACTGACTAAACTCCCCCCCCCGCCCCCCCCAAATGTATTTGAGCTCTAAATGGAGGAAATCTCCAGTTTAAAAACCAAGGGATTGGCACACTTTTAAATTCAAGTTGTGAAAACAAAGCTGGGGAAGTCCTGAGAATGCAAAGACAGGGAGAACGGGTGAAAAATGTTACTGATACAGGAGAAGGAGCAAGTAATTTGTGGGAAACAAGAAGGGAACACATTCAATACAAAGTAAACAGAAATCTTTGCGATCTTGTTCTGTCAGAAACCTGAGTATTGCTTTGGGATAAAGCACTGCTTGTTTCTTACAGATGTATGAATCTACCATGAAAAATATACCGGGGGAAAAAAAGCCTTAGCCCATTTCCTGGAAAGCCTATTCACGATCATATTTGCTACAGGAGAAAAAATAAATTCAGGTGTGCTAGTACCAGCCAGCTACACATCTCAACGACACATCTCAAAAACCTGCCTCCAGATGCAGACACAAAGGTGTCTGCCAGCCAACCTCCTACACCCACAGTGACTGCACATTTTTGCTCTGCTCAGTTAATTATCTCACAGCTGTGACTCCTGTTTCTTTGTTGAGTGACACAGAAAAGCCCGTGTGAGACTCCAGTTCCCACACCAGCACTGAGATAAGCCCGCTCCGGACCGACCGTCCCCCTCACAAGCACAGAGCAGCTCTACCCCCTAGTTGTCTGCAACTCTTCCTGGCAGTACATGCCAAAATAGTCTACGAAAGGGGTCTATGTACAATTATTATTTCACTGAGAGGAAACAGAGCACCATTTAACACACAGATGTACCTTTCTAATAATTTCAGGAAGACTTACCTCTGATGCCTGTTCGGTGCCCACAGAGACGTGTGCTGCTACTTCCCAGCTAGGCGAAAGCGCGTAATTCTAGAGAGGCGAGAGCCGTTGCGTTTCCTTTTTAACTGGGACGTGAACCTGTCAACACTGTGCTGGTTGGCTTGCTTTCAATATTTGCTTATCTTTAAGACAGACAGCGATTAGAGAAACAATATAACTTGCAAAAAAATGAAAGCAGTCCAGAAAGGTACTTGAAATTATATAAAGGCTCACTTTGACTTCTGTTCCTACTTTTTTTATCAACAGCATTATTGACAAAGGTTGGAAAGAAGCAGTAGTGAATAAAATATTTTGCTTTTTGCTAGATTTTTTTCTCAGCTTTCGCTGAACTTTTGCCCAAATTGTTTTTTATCTCCAAGCTCTGTGTGACAATAGTCACAAAGAATAGCCTGAACCCAGTCTCCCAAAAAAGTGGTAGATCAGGTCAGTCCAACCTGGTCTCAGGAATGAGCCTGGAATGAGGCACTTGGGTTAATCACGTGTATGTGTTCATGTTATGTTTTTCTGTGAGGTATTTTATAACTGACATAAAGACATGTCTCAATGAAACCTGCATTCCAACCACATCACAAAAAAAAGAAGGAACATTTTGTTCCCCAGTTCTGTGCTGTGTTTTGTGCAGGATTACTTTTTAACCTGGATCAATTCCTCAGGTAGTCCCTGAATTTGCACAACTGATCAGTCAGGTTGGTCAGCATTTGAATGAGCCAGTAAGAGGAGTAGGGCTGACTATTTTTTCACCACAGAAGAAAAGCTTACGGTGAAATATTAAGCCTATTCTGCCTTGCTTTCTGCTCCACTCAGGCATGTCTGTAGTGTTTTGTAACTACAATTTCTATTCTAAGTGCTTAATAACATCTACTGATCCCAAAACTATATTGGGAGGTGCTCCACCAGGATTTCAGTCCCTGGCACATCACCCTGAAAAATCCATAGAGTGACAACTACGGTCCCACGTCAGCTTTCTGAATTATCTGGAGAGCCAACAAGGTGTGTGTTAGGGAAA